GCATGGTACCAGGAAGGAGGGGCAAGGGCCGACCGACACGAAGATGGGCACAGGATATAAGTGACTCCTTGAGTGTGAAAGTGCATGAGGCAGAAGAACTGGTGAGAGACCGAGTTTCTTTCAGGCAGACTGTGATGAGAGCGACGTTCTGCAAAGGACCTGCTACATGATGATGATGATGATTCCTTTTAAGAAAAAAAAATCAAAAGTTCGACCACGTTCAACCTGCGGCTAGCTAGCCGAAGCTGCTAAGTCTTCGGCTATATTTGTGGTCTCGTTTATTTGCGCAACTTTTGTGGCTAAAGTTATGGTATTTGCGCCGTCTCTGGGCTTAATCCGTCCTGCCTTCAAGTCAGACCGCTCGTTCCTTATATTGTTGTCAGCCGTACACTTCCTGTCCTTGCCTTTGATAGTATCCTCTTGGTTCGTGCTCCTTCTGATTTGGGCAGGCGTATTTCGCAGGAGAGCGAGCTTCTCAACAAGACGTCCTTTTGACCACCATTTATAGTTTTAAAATTTTGAGTATTTTACTTTGCCAAAAAAGCGCTGAAAACAGTTTTCTGAGTTTGGATAGATCCGAAATCTGAAAAGATTCCGCGTGTGACCATAGTGCACAAAGCAGATACTGTTAAAAGAAGACAAAGCAAGGTTTGTGGCAGAAGCCATTTTCCCAGTACTGGCTTCGATTGGCTGAGTTCAAGGCTGAAGATTACTACAGGAAATAGCCGGTCACCCTAGTATTGCCTGCCTGCTAGGGAAGGGACAATGGATATCCCGTAAGGAGTCCATACGCCTGGTGCCGCCCCGCACGCCCGCCAGACGTCCAACTTTCACGACCAGCTCACCCGTGGCCATCCAGTTCCTCAGCACGTTGGCCCACCTTGAACTTTGGGGTTTTATATTCGGAGTTTGCCGTCTCCTAAATGGACTGCTGTCCAAAGCTAAGGGGTTCCACCTACCCCAGGGAAAGGGGTTATAGCGCCCCGACCCTTTTGGCAGGCACGTCTCCGAGCATATGATGTATTTTATAAGGGTTTCAAATCCCACCCTGAAATCCCGCCTCGCCCTCTGTGCCCACCGCCAGTCGGTCCACGGCTGTTTATTGGGTATTCACAGCTAACCGTATATCTAGAGGCCGTTCCACAATCCGCCACCAGAGGACGCGCTGGGTTGGGGATGGTCATTAGAATTACATTTGACAGGAGCCTGTCATTTAAGGACCATGTGTAGAGTGTTGTGACAAGATGCCAAAAAGGACTTGGTGCACTTAAGACTATGGCTGCAATTGACATAGAGCAGAGAATGCTTGTCACACTATATCAGCATCTGATCCTGTCAGTGGTTGATTATGGCCTGGGAATGCTTACCGTCTCAAGGAGCCAAATGGACAAACTAGAGCGCATACAGAACGCAGCAATGCGGGTCATTCTGGGTTGCACTAGAGATACCCCAGCGGTGTGTATGAGACACATCCTTGGTTTGCCCACTGTTGCAGGTAGGCACAAGGTGCTGCAGGCTAAGTCATATCTCAGGGTAGCTGCAGACACAGACCACCATTTGCACGAACCTCTGGGTGCAATTAAAGGTCAGCGACTGATAAGAGCGAAGTCATGGATGGCTCAGGCAGAAGATACATTCAGACAGGTTTGCATCCTTGAAAACATTAGGCGAGGAGAGGAGTGGGTCAAAGTGCCACCTGAAAAGTCAGACTTGTGTAGGGTCATAATTATACTGAACCAGAAATGCAGAGACTGGCCAGCAGGTGCCACAGAGATGGAAATTCAGCAATTAATTCAAGATAATGCTCGCTCAGAAGATGTGATCATTTACACAGACGGTTCAATGTCAAGAGGCAAAAGAAGTGCCTGGGGTTTCTTAGCAAAAGTTAGTGGTCGACGTTTGGTGCAGGAGAGCCTAGCATATGATACCACAACATCCAGCTTAAGAATGGAGGTGGAGGCGGTCACTGCAGCTTTCCGCTGGCTAGAGAACACGACACACACACACACACACACACACACAAATCGTGATTGTAACTGACTCAGAAAACATGCTGAGGAAGATCAGGACAGGCATGCTTCGTGCAGAGTGGCATACCTCGCTACGGAAGACACGGGTGAGGAGTATTGTCTGGATTTTTTCACCAGGTTATGCCGGTGTGTTGGGAAATGAACAGGCAGACAGACTGGCTGGCCCTGCACAGCTTGGTGGAATACTGATGCATGATAAGGTAGACGTGGTTAGTGCCTTGTGGACAGTGCGGAGGAGCAGATTGATCACCACAGTGTGGTGAGACTGATGCAGTTGGGAGTGACGAGAGGTTCTGGCAGATGCTCGAGGCTCAGAGGAAAAGCAAGACGGACGTTTAATCAGAATGCTACTGACACCATTAGTATCGGAACTCTTCGCTGTGCTGAAGATGGGGACAGAGCGCTTGTGGGAATGCCCCGAGTGCTGTGATGTCGGTTCTTGAATCAAATCAAATCAGTTCAAGGCTGCGGCATCACCACTGAGAAAGTATCTTCCTGCTTGGTATGCAGATAAACGACATACACATGCATGGTGCACGAAAAAAAAAAGATTTCAAATATGGCACCCTGAGAAGGGCCTTGTGTGTGTGAAGCGCAAAACAATACCTAAAAACCGAACGAACGAACGAACTTTATTTTCAAAGGGTAACAAATTGGGCACGCAGGCCCGTCTTACATTCAGCCCTTGCAAACACCTGTCTTTCACACTGCAACTGTATTTTATCAATAAGCATATTATATTCATATGATAATATGCATATTATGAATATCAAAAAAGAAGGGGGGGGGGGGAGGGGAAGAAAAAAGCACAAAAGCATGGGTGGTAAAATGCATGCACACACACAAACACACTCAAAAACCGCAAAAGACAAGCCAGCCAAGCACAAACTGGAGCAGCTCAGAAAGGCAGGAACAACACAAGAAACTGAGTTGAGTTGACAAGAATTGACATCACAGCACAGGGCATTTTCTTTCGTTCTCCATCCTCATCTTCAGCAGCCAGCGCAGAGTTCCAATACTGATGGTACTGGTCACAATCTAGTTATATGTTCCATCTTGCCTTTCCTCTGAGTGTAGTGAGCCGGCCAGACCTTCTAGTTACACCCAGGTGCCTCATTCTCTCCAGGCCATTACAATCTAGTTTCTCTACTTCTTCTTCTTCTTCGCGTTCACCAGCTGTAAACTCTGGCGGAAGGTTCTGGTTGCTCGTCTACTACTGAACTGCAGTCCTGCTCCAGAACCTGAGTGTTGCGTGTGCATCAGTTTTACAGATCTCATTCTCTTGAATACAGACTGTTGGTTCCTTGCCTCTCCGGCTGACGCACTCCGTCTTCAAAGGAAGCTCCCCAATTAGTTGACTCTTACAACATGCTTTTGGGGAGGCAGTGGGTCTATTCTTGTTTTCCCCACAATGGGGCCCCGGAACCCACACGGGGGAGTTTCTCTACTGATTCCGTTGCTTGTTCCCAAAGGGTCTTGACCACATCTGCCTTGTCATGTATCAGTTCACCACCCAGTGATGCAGATGCAGTCAGTTCTGTCTGCCTGTCCATTACACAAGAAACTAAAGAAACAGGGAAACCTCAATGTCCTTTCTCAGGAAAGCTTTTACCTTCCAAAATGGCACCAACCTGGACCAAGCGTAGACCAGAAAATCCTAAGACGCATAAGGAGTGTAGACAACCAGACGTGATCACACGTCACAAGGAGAGACTAATTCAAAACACCACAAGACGCAGAGGAATTGAATATAGCCAATCCCTCTGTGGCAGGTTGAACGAGTCCAAAGTGTTGTGGTTTCGATGTATGGCATCCGCCTCGAGTGCTGGAGGTCCCGGGTTCAAATCCTTGAAGGGTAGGATTTTTTTCGGGTGAACTAATAGTAATTTCCTTTGGTCTCTGGGTAGTAAGACCGGACTCCCTTGTGTATTGTTGCCCAAAATACCTTGGCAGCTGGGGGGGGGGAGAGTAGCTAACGGCGCAGCCAGGCAAAATTTGGAGTTAAAAATGTACCCAAAGCATTTCCGGATCATCGCCGGTGCAACGGAGTTCGTGCACTGCGCTGAAATTCTTCAGACTCAGGCTTGAATTAGAAGTAGAACGGAGCACTTATGGGTTGCACCCGTGTGTCATGATGTTGATCCGTTGATTAAACAAACATCAACAAACAATTTGTAAAATCGGTCACGACTTCTGCGACAGTCTATAGGGGAACACAAATATTTCCCCTTTGTGTTCCTGGGGCCCCATTGTGTGAGTGTGTAGGGGGATGATAATAAACACCCCCCCCCCCTCACCTCTTCCCCCCCAAAAGCATGTCGAATGAGTCGGTTAACTGGGGCATCCTTCGAAGTCAGAGTGCATTTGCCTTAGATGCAAAGAACCAACAGACTTAATTCAAATAAATCATTCACGTAAATTAAATGTGCACGAAACACTCGGGTTCTGGAACAAGACTAAATCATGAAGTGGATGAATAATCAGAACTATCTATCCGTCGGAGTTTTACAGCCGAAGGCAAGGAAGATATATAAAATGTGATTGGCAGAGTACAGAAGCAATGTTGTAAGGGCTCTTTCGGAGCCTGTTCTTTACATAATTCTAAAATACTTCCGGTCTCGTATTCCAGACGGGGGATGACAAAAGAAGCCGCATACTCCACAGATTAACGGTGTACGTGGCACCGAGGCTGAAGGGCTTTAATGCTTACGACACTGAGCCAAACAAGCTTTGCTCAAGTGCTTCTGGTTCAAAAAAATATTCTCTGAATACTTCCATAAGTTTATATATATATTAAGATCACGTGCACAAGTAATAGAAATAGTAACAAACATGTCACGTGATCTTTCAGGTGTACTTTTAGCTTTCTATTGTTGGATCGGCAACAGGGCAGAGGTTGAATAATTGGTTCAACAAAGTGGACTCCGACTTTCTCTCTCATCAAAGTGGTTTCTCTGCTAAAAAACCACAATGTTATTCATTAAAATTGCCACGATTCTCTTCTTCATCTCTGTCATCGATGTGTTTGTTTCAGCGCAAAGAAAAATTGGATATCCAGTGGTTTTAAGTAAGTTTTTAAAATTATCCGGTTCTCCTGTCACAGTAAATACCCATTTGACCGATTTATTTAACGATTTGTTTATGCAATGAATGGGAGGTCAGTCTTTGCGTTACAATTTAAAAACTAACTCTGAATTCTTTGCAGTCATAAATTACTTCTTTTTGAGAACAGTCTTACAACAAATCTTCCAGTCTGTAGATCCATCAGAGATAAACACACTGTGGAGATTGGAAAGCAACTTTACTACGAAAATCCTATAATCTTCTTTCTCTTCTTCTTCTTCTTCTTCTTCTTCTTCTTCTTCTTCTTCTTCTTCTTCTTCTTCTTCTTCTTTTTCTTCTGCTCTCTACTACTGGAATGCCTCACAGTGTCAGGACAGAAATAGATCTCTCGAACCGGCCCTTCTGTTCGCTTCGTATAAAATACTTTTCAGTGTCTCTAATATTTCTGAGGTCCATTCTCTGCGTGGTTGACCTCTGGCTGTGTTGCCATTATAATTCCTACAAATCTGTTTATATCGTCACTAGTTACTGGCATCATGAAAGCTGATAGATTGCAGTGTGGCTAAGGATTAAGGAGAGAATGGTAAATGACAGAGAGGTACAAACTATATGTAGAGAAGATATGAAGGGGAGTAGACTATGAGGCAAAAGAAATGGACCAGGCTGATACTTCCAGTTCTCTCAAGGAGGCAGTATGAGAAGTCAAGATGATTCAGGAGACGACTTTGAATTGGAAAAAAAGACAACATAAAGTTCAGGTCAAAAGAGGAGTCACCAACTATGAACACTATACAGGTAGCCAAAGAAGAAAAATAAACCAACACAGACTTGGTGTTATCTGCACGCTGAGAGATATACTGAAGATGGGATCCAAGCACTTGTGGACTGGTTGAATGTGCAGCAGAGGATAATCTGTTGATTAACGAACTAACTAGACCATAAGGAAGACCTAGGAGATAATTTAGAAATAATATACAGGCAGACCTACGAATATTTCAGTCACCAAAAAAGGCCATATATTATATATATGTGTATTTTGGGCTGGTGCTATTCAACTAGAGCAACCGCTCTCAACCTGTGGGTCAGGACATTATTTTTTTTTTGGGGGGGGGGGGGGGGGGGGGGGGGGTCGAACGACCCCTTTGCGGGGGTTGCCAAAGACCATCGCAAAACACATATTCACTGAAGTTATAGTTATGAATTAGCAATGAAATAATTGTATGGTTGGGGGGTCACCACAGAATGCACAACTGTATTAAAGGGTGACAACATTAGAAGCGTTGAGAGCTACTGAGCTAGCGCATGTGTGCCAAATCCGACCCAACAAAAACATAGCAAGTGGTCCAAGGATATTATTCAAGAGGTTTGTTTACTTGAGGACATAGAACTTGGGGAGGAATGGGTACGTGTACCACCAGAGTGTCATACGTCCTTTGAAGTATGCATCAGGTGGAATAGAGAATGCAGATAACAAAACCCACTAGTTACAGAAGCAGAAGTGCAGGCCTTGATATGTGAGAATTTTTCTAAGTGTGATGTAATCATCTATACAGATGGGTCTGTCATTTAAAATGTCAGGAGCTCGTGGGCATTTACGGCTCAGTCGGAGAGAGAACTGTCAAACAAGACTGCGGTGCCTTCGCCTTGATGACAAGCAGTTTGACTGTGGAGGTCACGGCGGCAACTAAAGTTGTGGCTAGAAACAGACTTTCACCCAGACCTGCTTTCTTAGCCACTCAATAAATATGCTCAAGAAGATCAAGAAGGGCTGCATAAGAAGACAATGAGTGGAGTCCCTGAATAGATCTAGGCTGACAAAAATCAGTTTCATATTTGTTCTAGTGGCATTCTGGTGTAAAGGGCAATGAATGAGCTGACAGACTTGCAAGTGATGCTAATGTGGGAAACAGGAAAATATTCATATGTAATATGTTTAGGCGTTGTGCTATTTAAACATAAGTAATGTGAAGCCTCTTGTGAAATATTTTGTGAATAAATTTCACCTTATTTAAAAGTAGATGTTCACGAAGCAGTGGTAGCATAAGACATTTATAGGAAGTTTCAATTTAGGTACACCGTAACAGCCACACCACCCCAGTGTAACTTGCAGTCCTGTGTGGGTGAAGATCTGTCTTTATGTTTGAATGTTGAATTAAGAATCGACATCACAGCACTCAGGACACCCCCAAAAGTGCTCAGTCCCCATCTTCAGCAACAAGCGAAGGGTTACACTTCTGATGGTACCAGTAACTGTCGGATTGTATATCCGTCTCACCTTTCCCCTGAGTGTCGAACATCGGCCAGATCCCCTTTTAACTCCTCTCAGTGCCACTCTCCTCAGACCGTATTGATCTATCTGTGTCTCGGCACTGTTCACTTGCTCCCAAAGAGCCTTCACAACATCCAGCTTGTCATACATCAGTTCACCACCAAGTGGTGCAGAACCGCCCATCCTACTCAGACCTTAGTGATCTACCTGTTGTCTTTATGTTTGTAATTGCAGTACCAGGAGACGGTGGCTCCCAGCTGGTGGTCAAGCTGAACAAGTCATCAACCCCGCACTATCTCTGCCGCAAGGTCACCGCTGGCTATGAGACCATTTGGGTGAACCTTGAAGAGCTTTTGCCAGAGGTCATTGACTGTTTTGTGGACAATATGAGGTCAGTATTTCTTGTGTAACAGACAGTGTCGGAAGTGAAAAAGAAATAAGAATATCTGCACTCAGAATTGAGATGAGTCGAGTCAAGAACCGACCTCACAGCACTCGGAGCATTATTATAAGCGCTCCGTCCCCATCTTCAGCAGCCAGCTAAGAGTTCCGGTACTAATGGTCTTGCCTTTCCTCTGAGCTTCGAGCATCTGTTAAAACCTCTCATAACTCCCCCCTGCATCAATCTTACCAGACTGTGGTGATTCATCTGCTCTTCCGAACTGTAAACACTCTCCCACAAGGCACCTACCACGTCTGCCTTATTGTGCATCAGTATTCCACCAAGCTGTGCTGAGCCAGCTAGTCTGTCCACCTGTTCATTACCCAACACACGGGCATAGCCACGTGAAAAAATCCAGACAGTGCTCCTCACCCATGTCCTTCGCAGTGAAGCATGGCCACTCTGCACAAAGCATGCCTGTCCTGATCTTCCTCAGCATGCTTTCTGAGTCAATATCTGCACCCAGGATGACGAGAGTGTTGCAGCAGGTGTGCCCAAATGGGGGGGGGGGGGAGGTTGAAAGTCAATTAAGTAGGTGTATTGGGCATATAGGGCTAGACCTATATTTTATAGACCAGTTGGCACTAGGGGGATGATATGGTCAGCATCACACCGGCCACCTTTACTTCCCAGGACTTTTACCTCGTACCCACTCAAGGCTAGATCGACCGGGGAGCCAAGGTCATTTAAAAAAAAAACGTCAGGCTCTGTCAGGACTCAAACCCATGACGTTCTAATCCACAGGCGAGCATCTAGCTGCTACTGTATGGCAGCAGTCTGGAGCCAGATTTGTCCTGGAAGAGACTAGTCCTTACTGGGGACAGAATAAAATCAGGATGTTTGACAGACAGGTTGCAATCCCAGAAGGAGAATACAGAAACAAACAAGTAAAAGGGAGATGATTCCCTTGAGGTAGACATCATGATCGTCATGTAGCAGGTCCTTTTCGCAGTCTGCCTGAAAGAAACTTGGACTCTCGCCAGCTCTCCCACCTCATATACTTTCCTATTCATGGAGTCACTTATATCTGATGCCCATCTAGTTGTTGGTTGGCCCCTCCCCCCCCCCAACCCCCTCCCCCACTTCCTGGTACCATGTCTTCAGCTATTATTTTTTCCAGTTCACCATGGTTCTTGATCCCACCAAAGTATTTCAGCTTTCAAGTCAAGATGTTGTTTATTAGCCAATCTTCCATGATGTTCAGATCTTTCAAAATGTCAGTATTTCTTCTCTTCTCTGTCCATGCTATTCTGGAGATAGACATCATCATCATCAGGTGCCTTGCCGACTGGCATGGGCTATCATGCCTCTCCATAACCTGCGATCTCCTGCAGCATGTATCAGTTCGTGTGCCGACACACCTCCATGCCATGCAACAAGACTGTCAAGCATCTTCTCTCATTGTCTTCCTCTATCCCTCCTTCCACAGATCTTTCCAGTGGTCACAACATGCTCTATTTTCCCTCTTCTCATAACATGGCCGAAAAATGATGACTGTCTCCTTCTGATTTCTGGAGATAGACATAACAAAGTTAATGTCAGATTCTCTTGTAACAGGCTCCGATATGACCCTGTCAGCCGGACAACGCATGATGGTCCAGGTGTGGACATTCGAACAACAGGATTTGGTGATACAGCTTCTGTGGAATACCTTGACCCAAATCCAGCAACTCACCTGTCTTCTAAAAGTAGGTCACCAGGTGTTTGATGTTTCTGGGTGATTTTTTTTTTTGGGGGGGTCTCTTTAATTCTTTTAGTCCCAGGTACATTTCACCATAGCATCCTTTGGGAATTTTCCTGCAGGTGATGCCGGTGTGTTGAGAAATGAGCAGGCAGATGGACTGGCCAGTTCTGCACCACTTGGTGGTAAATTGATGTATGACAAGCTAGATGTTGTGAGGGCCCTTTCGGAATGAGTGAAGAGTGCGGAGGCACAGATAGATCATTACAGTCTGAGGAGAATGATGCTGCGAGGAGTTACCAGGGGATCTGGCTAATGCTCAACACTCAAGGCAAAGGCGAGACGGAGATACAATCAGGCGGTTTATACAGTAACTGTTGCCATCAGAATTGGAACTCTTCGCTTGCTGCTGTAGATAGGGGATGAAGCGCTTATGTCGGTTTCCCGAGGGCTGTGATGTTGATCCTTGATTTAACATTCATTTGGACACACAGGCATAATGGCTGGAAGTAACCACACAGAAAGTCAGATTACACTAGCATTCTCTGAACAATTGTGAACAGTGAAAAAACACAACATGTGATCGTTTGAATTCAGGAAAAAGAGCCTTTGAATCATCTTACTTAATGTTACAGGAAGATTCTTTGTGTACAGAGGATCATGAATCAAGAAAAAGGAATACTGATAATTATTTTTAGGATTTGAATATTGAGGAAATAAATTACTGAAGGGAAAAAACAGTCAGACATAGAGGGTGTGAAGAGAACAAGAATGAAAAGAGAGTTGGTGAAAGAAATAAAAACAATCAGTTACAGAAGCTCTGAAGAGCTATGAATTAAAAGAGATTATTTACCACACACTGAACAGACGCTAAAAGTGATTGAGGGTGTATCAATAAAACACTAATCTCCTGTGTTTTGTAAAGGCTGTATCAATAAAACACTACTCTCCTGTATTTTGTAAAGGCTGTATCAATAAAACACTACTTTCCTGTGCTTTGTAAAGGCTGTATCAATAAAACACTACTCTCCTGTGTTATTACATTAATTTAACTCTCTAGTAACGCACCTGACGAGATACAGCAAAATATGCCTGGCAATAAATTGTGCAATGTATTGTTTGTGTCCACATTATTTACAATAGGAAAACGATTGTTTTGAATTAAAAAAGAGTTAGTGAAAGAATTTTTTTAAAAACCCAGACAGTTGACATATTTATTAATGTTAAAGAATAACACTTTTTTAAAAATCAACATCATCATCATCAGGTGCCTTGCCGACTGGCGTGGGCGATCATGCTTCTCCAAAATCCGCGATCTCCTGCAGCATGTATCAGTTCGTGTGCCGACACATCTCCATGCCATGCAACAAGTCTGTCAAGCATCTTCTCTCGTTGTCTTCCTCTATCCCTCCTTCCACAGATCTTTCCAGTGGTCACAACATGTTCTATTTTCCCTCTTCGAAAAATGATGACTGTCTCCTTCTGATGTCAGTGATAAGTTGTCTTCGGGCTCCCGCCTCTTTTAAAACCTCTTGGTTGCTCTTTTTGGCTGTCCAAGGTATTCTAAGCATTCTTCTGTAAAACCACATCTCTGAGGCCTCTAAACATTGTTTGGCCTGCCTACCGATTGTCCAGGATTCACATCCATATGTTAAAACTGGATGTATGTAGCAAGCAGGAATTCTTTTTCTAACTCTCAATGACAAGGATATATTGCACAACATGTTTTCTTAAAAACCATATTAGAGTGAAAAGTTAGAAACCAGTGAACAAGATGCAGACACCGATACATGGGAGGTTAATGTCAAGAAGCGGACAAACAACCGTTTCAGAGAGTGTGCAGGGAGTGTACAAGACAGCCATTTGAGATTAATCGTAACCAACCATAATTGTAGAGATATAGTAGATCAGGGAGCTTTTCAATAAAACAAACACAAATGAAAAATGAACGTTTCGGCCACAGAGCCTTCATCCGCACATATATAAAACAAACAAAACAAATACACACCAAAAAAATCACTTACCTGACCAATTCCAAAGCAGCCACATTGATGTCTTGCCAGTGGGATGAAGAGACACATGTGGTCCAAGACTAAATAGCCCGGGAATGCTAATGTATTGTAGAGGTGTCAGATGACTGGTGGATTGAGAATTTTTTACCTTGTGCAGTACTCTCAGAGACCACAAATATAACCGGAGACTGTTGGTGGCAGGGAAAGATGAGACAAATACACAATCAAACAGTTGCTGGTGCTATCATCATTGGAACTTTTTGCTTGCTGCTGAAGATGGGTCGAAGTGCTTATGGGAGTGTCCCGAGTGCTGTGATGTTGATTCTAAATTCAACCTTCAGCATGCTTTGTGATGTTGATCATTAACTTTAGTGAGGTAATTTATGTTCACATTAACTTACATTTATTATGTGTGTGTTTCTGCAGTGACATACTTCAGCCATATTGTTGATGATCTGGTTGCCATAGGATACACTAGGGGTTTGTCTGTGAGAGGAGCACCATTTGATTTCAGAAAAGCACCCAGTACGAGATGTATTGTTATTTGTCATATATTGTTATTTGTCAAATATTGTTATTTGTCATATAATTTTTCTTCTTCTCCTCCTCCTTGTCCTGCTGCGGCTGCTACTGCTTCTTCTTCTTCTTCTGCTTTTTTTTCTTCTTTGACTTCTTCTTCTCTTCCTTCTTCTTCTTCTTCTTCTTCTTCTTCTTCTTCTTCTTCTTCTTCTTCTTCTTCTTCTTCTTCTTCTTCTTCTTCTTCTTCTTCTTCTTCTTCTTCTTCTTCTTCTTCTCCTTCTTCTTTTTCTCCATGTGTGCAGGCTTGATAACATTAGATTGGGTCAGAATGTCCCAGCAAAAGTCAGACTTGTGTATGGTCTGATCACACTGGTCCGTGAGTGCAAGGACTGGCCAGCGGGCTGCAAGGACTGGCCAGCGGGCTGTGCAGAATCAGAAGTTCAACAAACGATTAATGACAGTTCTTACTAAGGTGATGTGATAATCTATACAGATTGCTCTGTGTTAAGAAGCAGACGAAGCTCATGGAGGTTTTTAGCAAACGTCATTGGGCATTGCTTAGCGCAGCAAACCTGGCATATGACACCACAACGTCTACTTTGAAAATGGAGGTGGAGACAGTAACAGCAGCCTTTTGTTGGCTTGAGAATCAGCTGTACACTTATGTTGCAATTGTAACCAACTCACAGAGCATTTTGAGTAAGGTGGAGACTGTATGCTCCATGAAGAGTGGCAAGCATCACTTCAGAGGTCTTGGGTAGTTAGCGATATTTTGCCCAGGACACACAAATTGACTGGCTTGTTCTGCACAGCTTGGTGAAGAAATAATGCGTGAAAAGGTAGATGTTGTAAGAGCCCTTTGGGAGTGAGTAAACAGTGTGGAGGCGCAAATAGGTTATCGTGGTCTGAAAAGAATGGTACAGGTAGGTGTGACCACAGGATCTGGCTGATGCTCGACACTCAGGGAAGGGGCAAGACGGACCGTACAGTCAAACTGTTATTCGTACTTTTGGGATTATAAGCTCTGTGTTTACTGCAGAAGATGAGGATGGAAAGCTTACAGGAATGTCCTCTAGTTCTGTGATGTTGATTCTTAACTTCTTCCTCTTTGCATTCACCGGCTGTTTAATTCTGTTGCACATTTCTGGTAGTTTGGCCACTTCTGGACTTTAGTCTTGTTCCAGAACTTGACTTTTGCATGCACAAATCTGGCCTACTTGTATGCAGACTGTTGGTTCCTTGCGTCTCAGGCAGATGCACTCCGACTTTTAAGAAAGGTTCATAACTTAACTCATAACTGAACTATAATTTCATTTGATTTTCTCTGGCACAGGAATGGAGCAAGTATGGGGAAACCCGATTGTAGTGAAGTTAAAACCTCGACTGAGACTAAACATAACTAACTTTCTTACATTCATGATCTCAACACCCTTATATTGATGATATCAACACCCTTATATTGATGATATCAACACCCTTATATTGATGATATCAACACCCTTATATTGATGATATCAACACCCTTATATTGATGATATCAACACCCTTATTTTGATGATCTCAACACCCTTATATTGATGATATCAACACCCTTATATTGATGATCTCAACACCCTTATATTGATGATATCAACACCCTTATATTGATGATCTCAACACCCTTACATTCATGATCTCAACACCCTTATATTCATGATCTCAACACCCTTACATTGATGATCTCAACTCCCTTATATTCATGATCTCAACACCCTTACATTGATGATCTCAACACCCTTACATTCATGATCTCAACACCCTTACATTGATGATCTCAACACCCTTACATTCATGATCTCAACACCCTTACATTCATGATCTCATAACCCTTACATTCATGATCTCAACACCCTTATATTGATGATCTCAACACCCTTACATTGATGATCTCATAACCCATACATTCATGATCTCAACTCCCTTATATTCATGATCTCAACACTCTTACATTGATGATCTCAACACCCTTATATTCATGATCTCATAACCCTTACATTCATGATCTCATAACCCTTACATTCATGATCTCAACACCCTTATATTGATGATCTCAACACCCTTACATTCATAATCTCAACACCCTTATATTGATGATCTCAACACCCTTACATTCATGATCTCAACACCCTTATATTCATGATCTCAACACCCTTATATTGATGATCTCAACACCCTTACATTCATGATCTCAACACCCTTATATTCATGATCTCAACACTCTTACATTGATGATCTCAACACCCTTATATTCATGATCTCAACACCCTTACATTGATGATCTCAGCACTCTTACATTGATGATCTCAACACCCTTACATTGATGATCTCAACACCCTTACATTGATGATCTCAACACTCTTGTATTGATGATCTCAACACCCTTATATTCATGATCTCAACACCCTTACATTGATGATCTCAACACTCTTACATTGATGATCTCAACACTCTTACATTGATGATCTCAACACTCTTACATTGATGATCTCAACACCCTTACATTCATGATCTCAACACCCTTACATTGATGATCTCAACACTCTTATATTGATGATCTCAGCACCCTTACATTCATGATCTCAACACCCTTATATTCATGATCTCAACACCCTTATATTGATGATCTCAACACCCTTACATTCATGATCTCAACACCCTTATATTCATGATCTCAACACTCTTACATTGATGATCTCAACACCCTTATATTCATGATCTCAACACCCTTACATTGATGATCTCAGCACTCTTACATTGATGATCTCAACACCCTTACATTGATGATCTCAACACTCTTACATTGATGATCTCAACACTCTTACATTGATGATCTCAGCACTCTTACATTGATGATCTCAACACCCTTATATTCATGATCTCAACACCCTTACATTGATGATCTCAACACTCTTACATTGATGATCTCAACACCCTTACATTGATGATCTCAACACCCTTACATTGATGATCTCAACACCCTTACATTGATGATCTCAACACCCTTACATTGATGATCTCAACACCCTTATATTGATGATCTCAACACCCTTACATTGATGATCTCAACACCCTTACATTGATGATCTCAACACCCTTACATTGATGATCTCAACACCCTTACATTGATGATCTCAACACCCTTACATTGATGATCTTAACACCCTTATATTGATGATCTCAACACCCTTATATTGATGATCTCAACACCCTTATATTGATGATCTCAACACCCTTATATTCATGATCTCAACACCCTTATATTGATGATCTCAACACCCTTACATTAATTATCTCACAACCTTTACATTAACAGATGAACTTGGACAGTACTTTGTGGATCTGCAGCAGCTGATAGAAGACACTTTCCTGAAGAACAACAACACAAAAGTGGTTGTCATCGGTCACAGCATGGGCAACCCCGTATTCCTGTACTTCCTCAACCGCCTGCCTCAGCAGTGGAAGGACAAGTACATACAATCCTTCATCAGTCTTGCTGGTGTGTGGGGAGGCGCAGTGAAAACTCTGAGGCTAATGGCTTCAGGTACGGTGTTTTAGTGGTCAGTCTCTTTGAACTCTTGAAGTCCCAAGATACGCATCTTACGTTTATAGGTTTCTACCTCGAAGCCCAATTAATGCACGATGTGTCGATTTTAGTCTCTCTTCACCACCCCTTGGGCCTATGATGCTAAACCCCTACTGGACTCAAACACTTAAGACATACAGTCCTTCATCAGTCTTGCTGGTGGGTGAGGAGGGCTGTGAAAACTGAGGCTAATGGCTTCAGGTACAGTTTTTTAGTGGTCAGTCTCTTTTAAGACTTTTAAGGCATAGTCCTTCATCATCAGTCTTGCTTATATTTTGAAAAATTCTGCCTTGATGTGGGTTTGAACCTAAACCTGGGGGCTAGCAGGTGATCATTTAGCCTCTACACCACCATGCCTGCCATAATCCCTCAGTTCTTGTTACTAGTTTCACTTTTCAGCATCAGTAAAGTTTGACCTTATGTTTAAAAAAAAATAGACCCTCCAGAATGCATGATCAAAGCTAGTGGGACAATCCTCACTAAGGTTGATACATTAAAGTACTTGGGTACTCTGATAACAGCAGATGGAAGATGTATTAAAAGGCATTAAATGTGGACTAGGTCAAGCAAAGGCAGCTTTTTACATAAGGCAAAATATTCTATGAAGTCAGTCTTCCTTTGTCAGTTGAGATGAGAAAGAGAATTCTCCAAGAGCGGTATAAATCCTAGCCTGATATATGTAAGTGAATCATGGACGGTTAGATGATTAGGAAAAATTATTTGGAAGCTGCGGAGATGTGGTTTTAAAGACAAATGATGAAGAATACCCTGGACAGAAAAAAGGTTTGAAAGTTTGAGGTTTTTGAACAATGGATCAACATCATGGCACACGGGTAGTAACCCATAAGTGCTCCATTCTTCTTCTAACTCAAGTATGAGCCCGAAGAAGCTCAGCACAATGCACAGGCTCTGTAGCACCGGCGAAGATCCTGAAATACTTTGAGTAGATTTTAACTCCAAATTTTGCTTGGGCAGCGCTGTTAGGCTATTTTTTTTTTAAATTTCTAACTGCCAAGGGATTTTTGTATGTGCGCAACAATGCACACGGACATCCGATCTCACTACCCAGAGACCAGGGGGAATTACTAAAAGTCCAAGTCTGTGTGAAAAAATTTAAGCCTCTACCGGGGATGGAACCAGAACCTCTAGCACTCGAGGTGGACACCATACCTCGAGACCATGATGCCCCCGTGGACAGATTAAAAAAAAAGAGTAATGAAGATGTCTTTAAAGAAACTGACTGACAAAGAGAACAGATTGCCTACATCAGAAAGAGACAGTGGAATCTGTGGTCATCATAAGAAGAAAAAAACTGGAATACACCGTGATAGCGGGAAAGTTAAAGGGGAAAAGGGGGGAAAGTTAAAGGGAAAAAGGGGGGAAAGTTAAAGGGGAAAAGGGGGAAAGTTAAAGGGGAAAAGGGGCAGAATGAAAACTAAAGAGATGCTGGACAGTTTGACATCGTGGTATGGAAAATCATCTGTGTCAGAATTGACTGAAAGCACACGAGATAGGTCATCGATAAGACCTGACTGCCAACACCACACAGCACGGATTATCAGAAGATGAAGAAGAAGAAATTTTAGACAGAATATTGTTCCATGTAGATATTGTTTTTCTTTCCTCATATAGTGATTTACCGTTATCTTGATTCTGCCATGTTTATTTTCAATAGGTGACAACCTTGGTGTGGTCGTTGTCAACGTCAATAAAATCCGGCCAGAACAACGGGCCATGCCTAGCACCGCATTTCTGATGCCAAACGACCGGTTCTGGAACCGGTCAGAAGTTTTGGTGGTTACTCCTGAAAAAAACTACACCGTGGCAGACTACAAGGAATATTTCACGGATTTGAATTTCACCGATGGCTTTGAGATGTGGAAGGATACCAAGGACCTGGTATATGACCTCACCCCTCCAGAGGTGCCAGTTTTATGCATTCACGGCTCTGGGGTTCCGACTGTGGATACTCTTATCTTTGGCAAGGGACAGTTCCCCGACACATATCCTGCTTCTGTGAACGGGGATGGAGATGGAACTGTGAATTTGCGCAGCCTCTTGGGCTGTTTGAGGTGGGTTGGAGCTCAGAAATACCCGGTGAGGCATGTGGCTTTAAATGGAAGCTCAACAGAACACATGGCCCTTCTGGCAAACTCTGATGCGAGACAGTACATAAAGGATGTTGTTACTGGGGAAAGACTTTTAGACTGATACTGATGTGTGTGCAGCAGTAAATAAAGGGTATTGTTTCTGGGAAGAGATAAGACAAAAGTAAAGATAAATTTTGGGACAGATGCTACTATGTGGTAATGGGAAAACGATTAAGCCACAAGTAAAGATAATCTGTTGGACAGATGCTGTTATGAGTGCAGCAGTAAATGAAGCAAATTGTTTCTGGGAAAATGTAAGACAAAAGTAGAGATAATCATTTGGACTTATGCTGCTGTGTGTGCAGCAGTAAATAAAGGATATTGCTTATAAGACAAAAGTAATGATAATTTTAGGAATAGGTGCTGCTATGTGGCGGGAGTACATAAAAGATGTTACTGGAAAGAGATAAGGCGTAAGTAAAGATTATAATTTGGACTCATGCTACCATGTATGGGGCAGTAAATAAAGAATATTTTTCTCTGGGGGAGGGGGGGGGGGGGAAAGGCAAAGGTAAAGTTAATTTTTGGGACAGATGTTGTTAGGTGTGTGGAGTACATAAAAGTGTTGCTGGAAACCAAAAAAAGGCAAAAGTACAGATAATCTTCAAGACGGATGCCGCAGTGTATGTGGCAGTAAATAAGAATGTTGTTTCTGGGAAAAGATCAGGCGAAAGTAACATAAAGATAATCCTCAAACCCTGCTGTGTGTGCAGCAAAAAAAAAAAAGGAAATTGTTTTGGGGAAGAGGAGCGGCTGGCCGAACCGTTACAGTGCTTGGCTCTCAAGCGGGAGACCTGGTTTCAAATCCTCAGTAAGGCTGGGGATTTTTTTTCTGTCGGGGGCGAAAATAAAATCCTCACCCGCACAGTCGTGGCGACAGCACTAGCCATGCGCCCGTAAATTCTCAGGCTCAAAGACCCCCCCTGCCTACACTGCAAAACTGGTCAAATAAAGGCAGTAACTGGTGGTTTCTGGGAAAAGATAAGACAAAAGTAATGATAATCTTTGTTAAAAAAAAAAAGATGCTGCTAATGAACTGTTTGACCTTTGTATAGAATTAGTCATGGTGTTAGAAGTTGGTTAACTGAAGCACCTTGCTGCATTTATTTACTAGAATATTCCAGTATTGCAAAAAATAAAAATGACAACGCTTGATGTTAAACTGTTGACAAGTTTGTTTTAATTGTATTCATACAGCAGCCGATAAATGCCGGAATTGTTTTTTTTAAATTCCTATAACAGGTGTGTAGCTAAAGTTTTAAACAAGAAAAGACACATGCAAAATCATGCTGAAGGGAGATATCAAAGAATGGTGAGCAAGAGATAGACAGCCATACAAGTGGGATGGTAACATCAAGAGATGTGTTAGAGTGTTTAGCTATCGTGACAGACATAAATTATTTATGAAATCCACTGCAGCCGATCCATATTTGTGTGATTAATGATTTATGTTGACATTTTATTGGATGTCTTGTGCTTATACTTTACCTGTTTTTAGTAATGCTTCCTGGGGGTCTCCATGGCGAAGTGATCAAGCCATTTGCCTCACACTCTGTTTTTAATGGAGGTTGTCCTGGAGCTCTGGCGGTCGTGCTCGACAGGCAGCAAGCTCTTCTGTGAAGAGAGACTGAGCCATGTGAGATAAAATCCGGTGCAGTGAAATTGATCTTCTCACCTATTTAAAAAAAAAAAAAAAAACGAGAGAGAAGAGAGATGCTTTCTAAGGCAAGTTTCATGTTCTACTCTTTGTAGTCTATGTCATCTGGCTTATTTTACGCAGATTCTTGGTCCCTCACCTCTCAGGCAGATGCACTCTGACTTCAAAAGAAACACCCATAATAGTTGTCTCCTACGACATGCTTGTTTGGGAAGGCAGTGGGTCTCGCCTACCCACCCACCCACCCACAAGGAAGTAGATGATTCACTTCCATACATCATGAGGGGCTCTACACAGCTTCTTTGAACTTATTTCCTTAACTCACTAAAGAGCAAGATGGTCCCTTTCCCCTTTTCAACGCCATTAGGCGTATTGGGAATGTAGGGCTAGACGTATATTTTATAGACCAATCGGCACTTGGTGGGGATGTGGTCAGCTTCACGCCGGCCGCCTTTACTTCCCAGGACTGCACCTGGTATCCACTCAAGGCTGGGTCGACCTGGGAGAGAGAGCAAGATGGCATCACTGCAAATATTTATGTTAAAAACTTTCAGGTTTGTTTTATGGCTGCATCTTTCAATTGACGAGTGCAGTTTTTCACAGAGACCCATGGGAATCATCATCGCAGCTACAGAGTTTGTGCTTTGTGTGACAATCTTGGCAGGCTGCTCTATGGAAAGGACCAAACCATATTGCAGTTTTTCCCAAACTTTTCTTAGTCTTTTTCCAATTAAAATTTTTCCACAGCGCCCTAACCAAAGTAAAAGTATGACTATTCGTATGTAAGAGAATGAAAAAAATACAACTCATGTATCTTCAAATACTTTGCGGAAGAGGTCGCAGCTTCCGGGGCACAGCGGCGCACAATTTGGGAATCACTGCCATATAGGATACATACCACCTGTTGCGATGAAGTTGATTCTCTTGTCATTAACCTTTAGCTATTGAAATATTCAAATCTTGTTGGCTTTGTGGCTGGATTATTTTTTTGGTTGGGCTAGTCAACTTCAAGCCCACCCACTACCCTTAGTCACATATGGCATTATCTATAGATTAGATGCATATATATTTTGCTCATGTGGAGAGCTGCCATGGAATATTGAAGATGAGAAATCAGTTAACATTCTATGGAAACCAGCTTGTGTGAATCAGTTGAGGATATGTGTTGCACCAAAGTTGTCATAGAGAGACAGGCTTTTTGATCTGAAAATTGTTGATAGGAAGAACAAGAAGAGCATAAGGAAGAAGAAAGTGCACATCTGGCTTTGATATTTTTTTTTTCCAGCTTATTGATTGTGCATATAGCTTTCCACCTTCTTCTCTGGTAGCTATTGATAGAAGAACGAGAAGAAGATAAAGAAGAAGAAAGTGCACATCTGGCTTTGATATTTTGTTTATTTCAGCTTCTTGAATGTGCATATAGCTTTCCACCCTTAGCTTTCTCATCTGGAAGCCATTGATAGGAAGAACGAAATGTGAATTAAGAATCACATCACAGAACTGCACTCAGGATATTCCCATAATTTTAGCAGCAAGTGCTGAGTTCAAGTTCTGATGGTACCAGTAATAGTCTGTGTATATCTGTCTCGCCTTTCTCTTGGTGATTGAGCTTTGACCAGATCTACTGGTCACTCCTTGTAGTGTCATTGTCAAACCACGAATGTATATTTGTGCTTCCACAAAGTGAAAAAAGAAGAAGAAAAAAGATGTATATCTATCTAGCTTTGAAATTTTGTTTATTTCAACTTATTGGTTGTGCATTTAACTTTCCAAGCATTGTGATGTACAATATGTTATGTTTATGTTTTTTAATATCAGTGTTAATTTGCATACCAAATAAATGCTGCATTTTGATCCACCCACATTTAGAGTTCTGCCAGTTTCTGTTGAGACTATGATCTCGTCATCCCCGTGTGGGTTGACATTTTTAGTTATTTTGAAGCCCCACCCTGGCTTTTGCCTGGGGCCCTAAAAATAGCCGGGCCTGAAATATGGCCTAATGGCTGAACGGGGTTTCCGGGTCCTCTCCACAGGTGATCCTCATCCGCATGGTGGCACTTTGTGTCACAGAGTGTTTATTGTTTGTGTGATGTACTGGTGGGGTACAACTTACATACATACTTTCTTTTCAGACTTTTGGAATCAACCATACCTACAGATTGTTATTATACTTTGGTCTGGTTTTAGGAGGTTAACTGTACATGCCATTCCCACTGATGAATATACTTTAAAAAATCCAAGCTGGATTTATCAGGCACAAAGTGTTGTGAGGAATTCTGCAAACGTGTCCAAGCCGTTGCCACCTTCTTCCTTTGATAACATTTTGCCAGTGATGAAAATCATTGTTTCATCCTCAGTTCTTCATTTGTGACCTTGTTTGGCACAAATATTTCTCCACCATAGTTTGGTAAAAATTTTAGAGGTCAACTGTAGTTACAAGCTTGCACTTCTACTATTCTTCTTTCTTCCCCAGCTGCAAGTAAGCTCCGGTGGAAAGTCCTAGTTGTTCAACCATTTGGACTTTGTGCCGGGCTTGAGTTTTGTGTGTACATCTGTTTTACTGGCTTATTTGTGTGCAGGTGTTTACTTTCTTTCCCTTGCCGCTTGGGCAAATGTACTCCAACTTTGAAGCAAACCCCAGATTAGTCAACTTTTACAACATACTTTTTGGGAAGGCAGGGGGTCCACTCTTGTTTTTCCTCATAATGGGGCCCTGGAACCCTCCAAATTTGGAGTTAAAAATCTACTCGAAGTATTTCAGGATCCTCGCTGGTGCTACAGAGCCTGTGCACTGTGCTGAGCTTCTTCGGACTAATACTCAAGTTACAAGAAGAACGGAGCATTTATGGGTTACTACCCGTGTGCCATGATGTTGATCCGGTGTTCAGATTAGCTGTGATTAGATTTCTAGTTTAATCTTCATCAAGAGCCAGTGTGAGTGTGACGAAATGACCTCAGTGGTCTCAGAAGTTACATTGTGCTTAATAATTTCTTATGTTCAGAGAAGGACAAAGAATTAAAAGCAATAGACACTGAGCCTAAAATAGTTCTAAAACCACTATAAGGGATTTGAGAATTGTTTAAACTGTGTTTCCCCTCTTAGCCAGACAAAGCAACCTTGCTTTATGTGATATTACCTAATACTACTGTAGCTAGAGCTTCACCTGCCCGTGTCAGATAATTATCTCCTGCCCAGTCTGTAGAGGCAAGTAAAGGGGGAGATAACTTCGTATCACACCTCAGATTAGCTCCCCTGAATGCGACCGTAGTGTCATAAAAAGTTACATAACACACACTGAGTGGGGCCGTTTGATCAAACTGAAGCAGGGGAATTAGTGGTCTGATAGACATTTCTAGACAGGATGGCGTCCAGCGTCGGAAGTTTCACACCTGATAGTGAAATT